ATTTGTTTTCTTTATAATTATTAAATGTTTTAATAATAATTTTTCCTTCTTACTTTTTCGGATTTCTGTCTTTCTTCCGTACTTTGTATCATTACTAACTTCCGTTCTTCTTCTGATTTTTGTTTCGTTTATAATGTCATGTGTAACCTTTATGTTACATTAGCTTCCATGTGGTCTAGTTTGTTATTCCTAACGAGTGTGCTCTTTGTGTAACCTTCTTGAATTTTGTGTAACTTCTTCAATTTGTTATTTTCAAATATTTTCCTGTCTTTTTATAAGACCCTCCATCTGGTTTATTAATTATCTTTTTTTCCTTGATCCTTCGTTCGGTTAATTAATTATTCTTTTTCTTTCGATAACTAATTTATCTGAATCATTTTCTTTCGTGATTTATTTGTTTTGTGTAATCTTTCTTTTCGGTCTGTAATTATTTGAGTATTGTTCTTTTCTTTTAATAAAGATTATTTCTTTTTTATCATATGACTTTTCCTTGTGACTTTTTACTGTATATTGTTGATTATTTTCTTTTGTATTATTACGCCCTGATTAATGAAATTGTTAACTCTACAATGTGTTAAGCATAATTTTTCTAATTTCTCTTCTTCCTTATTTCATTCTTTGATAATAATGTAGTTGAAACATAACGCATAGCATTATGCAATTCAAGAATTCATTTCCAAGCAATAAATGTAGAATACCATCAAGTTATAGTATCAGTTAAAACATCTAAAAGACTTGTTGGTATTTCAGAATCTTCAATTGTAAGTCCTTCAAATCCATTAATTTTAAGCTGTGCTTGTTGAAGTCGTTGTGCTTGTTTTGGTAATTGAAAAAAATTTGCAAATTTTTAATTCGCTAATTAATATTTTTGCAATACTTTAATTCTTCTTTTATAGATAACTGCAATGTATGAGCCGCGCATGGTTGTCTTTTAATAGAAGATAAAGATTGGTTAAGAAGACGTATACTTTTAACTATATTTGGTCCATTATCAGTTATAATAGTAAAAATAGTATTTGTTAAATGCCATTGTTCAATAATTTGGTATAATTCATCACGAATAGCCTCTCCTGTATGTAGATATTCCAAATGATTACAAGTAAGCAAAACTTCGCAAAAAGTAAAATCGGAAGTAAGCCAAGTTGCTGTTACTCCGATATATCTATGATTGCTTCTTGCAGTCCAAAGATCTGTAGTAAACTGAACTGATGTAGCTGTATTTCCAAGTAAATTAACAAGTTAATCTTTGCTCCAGATATATGCTTCATAAATTAAATTCTTGGCTGTTTTTTCACATGGGATTGCAAATCCAGGTTCACACAGTGTTGGATTATGATCTTAAATGATCTATATGACCAATATGATCAGTCATAGGTCATTTGGTCATTTTTAGTATATTTGGTCATATGACTTTAATTTTATAATCATCCAATTAAATAATAGTATTAAATTATTGATCGGAGATTATGATTTTTTAAATAAAAATTATTAAATCAATATTTAATTGTACATTTAAATAAAACTTTAAAGTTAACTGTATATAATATATTTAAAAAAAACTTTATTTATTTATAACTAATCTTTATGCATCATTAAATATTTTATCTGAACCTAAAAATGAAGGCGATTCTAAAGAACATTCAAATAAAGAATTTAAAATCCATTTAGCTGTTTCATCATCAGCAGGATGTATTTCACGACCTCCTGAATTAAAATCACTATTCCATTTTTCCGATAAAAAAATTTACTCATCATGATTTTCAAATTGATTTTCATGATTTCCTAATTCTATCTATTCTTTAATTATTTGATTCCATTTTTGTTCATCATTTCTAATAACCTCATCCTCATTATTATCATTATTAATTTCAATTTCATTATCAATTTCTTTATCACTAATCATTTCATTATCACTTACTTATATGTACATTTCTTCATTATCTGATTCATATTTTTTAGTTTCATCAATTTCATTATCAGGACAAATTGGTGTAGCTATATGAAGTTGTAATATTTCTTGTTCACAATTTCTAGCTTCTTTAATTTTACGAGTATATAAGATATCACTTCGAATTTGACTCATAGTTAAAACTTTTTTTTGCTATATTTTTTAAAAAGTTAGTATTAAAATAAATAATTAACATAAATTTAAAATTAATAAAAAAATATATCACCTGTAACCGATTCCGTTTATTAGTATGTAAATAACCCATATTTGAACATAATCGTTCTACTGAAGCAGAATTAACACCAATTCCATGAATATGAGTTGCAATACGAGTTAATTCAGAACCTACACCACTTGTTGATTCCCAAAAATCTACCAAATTATTTTTAAATTGATTAAAAAATCCATATCGTATGGATCTTCCTCTCTTTTATATTTAATCAATTCAGCTAAAATTGAAACTGGTTTAGAATTAAACTATGATTCATAATAATATTTCACCCATTGTCCAATATGAGTCCAAGTTAAATTTTGAGTTGTTGAACGAAATTTTTGTAATTTATGGGATGGGTGAAGTGCAAAGGAAAGAATTAAAAGTGGTTGTTCTCATTCCCTCCAACGAAATTTCATTTTTGCTACCATTTTTAAACCAAATTTAAAGTTGTGATGATTATTTAAAATTTTAGTAGTATAAGCAAAACAGTGTAAAACTTCATAAAGTCGCGCAGTATCCTTTTGTAATTTATTAAGAAATCCACAAAGCGAATATAATAAATTTTGTAATTCAAATAATATAGCCCAAAATTCTGAATCATTGATAATATTAGTAATATCATCAGGAAGTTTTCTATTACCACTTCGATCAGTTGACTTTTTATTTGCTGGTATACTTGGAATACTATTATTTCTTGTAACATTTGTTCAGCTATCATTAAATTTTGCTGAAAGAAACTATAAATAATAAATTTTAATTTTATATTTACATATTAAATTAAATAAATATATTTAATATAAAAAATATTAATCAAATACCTTAAGAGCGGATTGTGTTTTTAAAATTGAATAAAAACAAAAATAGTATGAGTTCCATCTTGTATCTCCAGATGTAATTAATGAAATTGTTTTTTTATATATACGCATTTGTTCATCTCTAAGATTTCCAGTAAAAAAAGGTGAATTATGAAAAAAACTGACAATTCGTATGGCTTCTTTAGATACCCTTTGATATAATTCAAATTCCTTAAATATTTCTCCAAAAATTAAATTCATCTGGTGAGCCATGCATGGTAAAAAGATTTTAGATGGATAATTTCTTCTTAATTGGCGTCTAATATTAAATATACAGTATCGGTATATATATATTAGTTTATAAATTAAAAATTACATATTATTTTATATAATAAAGTAAGATAAAAGTAAAGTAGATTAAAAATTTTATTGATTTTTTTTATTTACGAAAACAAAAAAAAAATTAAAATCAAAATTCTATTTAATAATTATTATTAATTTACATAAATAAATTTAATATAATAATTAAGTATCATACCGAGCAGCAGCATATTCTCCTGCTGAGTCAGAAATAAAAGCTTTAATATTAATATATTTTTCATCAGCTTCGGACATTAACTTTCAATATATTTAATAACATTTTCAGTTTTAGATCTTTCTGCACTTATATCATATGCACCCCATACTAACGGTTGTCCTGATGTAGTTATTAATACCACTCCCCATAAATGCTCTTGCTTTACGTTAGTCCAACCATTAAATGTCGCAGTTACACCATATTGATCATTTTTAGCAATTTTGATTATATTTTCTTGTAATGTTTGTGAATAATCATTTAATACCTTTCCACTTATAGCTTTTCGTTTTGGTAGTTCAATTCCAGGTGAGATAAATTGAAAAATAGCAATGGTATCCTCATTTTCAATAAATGTAAAAGGCAACCCAGTTGATATAATCATACGAAGTAATAATTGATAAAATCGTGGTTTGTCATTTGATGACATTGGTCGGTAAAAATAGTTGGAAATTGCTGATTGGTTAGAAAAAGAAGAAGTTGTTGAAGTTGATAATTTTCGTTGTTTGGCTAAAGTGAATGTTTCATTAAGATCATTATTATCATCTATAGTTTAAAATTATTGTAAATAGGTTATATATTAAATTATTACATATTTAAATTATAAAAAAAAAATCATATCATTTGTAATTCCTTCATTTATTCTTTTATGTTTTTTTATATCTTCTGGAGTTGGTAAAGCCAAAATCCTTTGCACTTCTTTGTCAGTATTGTATTCGCGAAAATTTTGGCATTTTAATAAATGGCCACGACATAAACGCGCACGATTAGCAGTACAACATTCAGACTTAAGTTGAGTCGCTCCCAAACTACCATGTTTAGCTATACACCAATTACAAACTGCTAAAGCATTCGTAGCATTGTTGGCATTTTTTACTAAGGTAAAAAAAGGTCGAAAGTTATGAAGCTGCTTGGTTGACATTTTTTTTTTGCGAAGTTAAATGATATGCTAGATTAAGATTGATCAGATTGATCAGTGATGGCGTAACTTTAATTAAATCAAATTGTTTATTAAGCCAGTTAGTTGGTTAATTATTAGAGATCATATGACTAATGACCAAATGACCTTTAACTAATGGTCATAACGATCATATGACCAATAATCATATAGTCATGACCAAATGATCATATGACTACCGGTCATATGGACATATGACCAAGGTCATTTAAAAATTTTCATATGACCTGGTCATTGTCCAACACTGGGTTCACAAGCATGAACAAATTCACGAAAAGCATTATTTTTAAGAATATATAAAGGTTGAACAAATTGAATAATAAAAATTATCAAGCGACGTGCAAGCTCTTGTTGCCGAGTTTCATTACAACAAACATTTGATATTTGTTTTTGATCTGATTTTGGCTAATAGAATATATATATTAATATTAATAAAAATTTTTAAATACAATTAATTAATATATTTGCGATTTTTTTTAATAAAATTACCTCATCATTTGCATCTAAATAATCTAAAAAATTAAATTCGTTATTTCATGCTTATCTCGTAAATGACAGGATAAGTTTGAAGTTGAACCGCCTCTACGGCTATAGGGATAGGGTTTTTTACTGGTTCGTTCACAAATTATAAAATATGCTACATCATTATTATTGGGGTCTTTGCGAAAAAAGTATGAAGTATGTCTTCTATTGCTTCTTTCTGCCGGCATATCATTATTTGAAGATGTTGCATTCATTTTATTTTTACGTTTTTTTCGTTCATTGGAAATGCTTATGGATGAACGGGTGATTGTTGATTCAGAGTCGGACATAGTAATTCAAAAGAAAGTGTCATAAGAACTACCATTTTCAACATTTTCGAAGTCTACTTTTTAAATTAAAGTTTATTATGGAATAAAAAGTCCTGAAAGATTTTCATATTTTATTTAAATTTAAAATATTACTAAAAAGGTCGAAAGTTTTTTTTTAAAAAAATTAATTTGTTACTGATCGACAATGCAAGTGTCGTGGCATTATATAACTGGAACATCATTTAACGTTAAAAATAACTTTATTAAATTACTGAATTGATCGAAGGAACTAGAATTATTTTATTCGGATTAAATGAAGGAACCGGATTTATTATATCCGGATGAAACGAAGAAACCGGATTTATTATATTCGGATAAAACGAAGGAAACTGCATTTATTTTATCCAATCCGGATTTAAAAAATAAGTCCGGTTCACAACTCTAGTTGTACATTAATTCAAATTTAAATTTTTTAAATATATTATTGGCTTCAGGAATTCGAACACATACATGGCAAATTTATCGGCTTTAAGTCTAAAATCATTCAACAGAACACTCGTTGTTTATTAAAATAATTTCATTTCTATTTGTATGATTGCACTCTAAATAACGACATAATTTTGTTGTATTTGAATCACCAATATTGCGGAGCCACGTTTTGTGTCCACTAATATTTTTGAAAAAAAAAATATCAACCTATAATATACTCTATTTAAAATGATATTAGCATCTAACTTCTCGATGTGTTTTTGAATTT